GGTAAAGATGAACGTTCACACAAAAATCTGTACATGAATGTTCATAGCAAGTTTTTCTTTGGTAGTTAAGAGCTAGAGAAACACCTCTACTGTCTTTCAGTATCCATACAATAATAAGGAGCAAACTGTTGATACAGGCAACAACTTGGATGAATCAAAGACATTATGGTGAGTGGGAGAAACTTGAAAGGTTGTATGTGTACTGTATGATTTCCAAAAAGACAAAGCTATATTAATGGAAAACAGTTCAGTAATTGCTTTTGTAATTGTAATTGGTTTTGCAGAGAGTGAGGGTGTGGCTATAAAAGGCATAGCATGAAGGAAGTCTTTTTGGGTGGTGGGACTATTTCTGTATCCTGATTGAAGTGGTGGTTAAATGAAAATGTACACCAAGAGAAAAAGTCAATTTTACTGTATGGTAATTTTAACAAAAATAAATATAATTAGAGAAAAATTGGTAAAGATAATATATTGTGCTGAGGTATGTGTAGTGAAGTGGACACTCTTGATGGGTAGGAATATCATTTTTAATATCATTAAGCAGATATTAAGCATTTTACTTTTTTATTTAATGACATGGGAAACATTCAAACTAATATATGAATAGAGGAGAAGAAAAAACTATATACCATATTTCTTAGTATTTTAGAAGCATGTTTTCTCTCCAAGAAATATACAAAAATTACCCTTTGTCCATACACCCTCATTTTGTAAGGAAAGTGGGGAAACTGAGGCCACTGCGTGTAAGTCCTCTGTCTGCTTGGCTTCCACTCAGGATTACAGCAGCCTGAGTCCTTCAGGGACTGATGAGAGTTCATTGGGCCATGCATTTGGACACAGCTGACTCAAGATACATATGTATCATTTGTTTTCCCAGAACAAAACCTTGATGGTTCTGAGGATAATTTATTGTTTGAAGATAGTCGGGACTCACTTTCTAAATTTATGAATGCCAGTGATGAACATATGAATTATCTGAATTCTAGTAGTGACAATGGCTTTTCAGGTTTTTGGGAGATTGGTTTACCTGGCTTGAAGATGTACATGTTTTCTTTTTTTGTGGACATAACATTTTCTCTTTGGTAAATACCTTCCAGTAGAATGGCTGGTTATAGTAGGCATATGTTTAGATTTTTTTTTTTTAAAGATTTTTTTCTTTTCTTTTTTCTCCCTAAAGCCCCCCGGTACATAGTTGTATATTCTTCGTTGTGGGTCCTTCTAGTTGTGGCATGTGGGACGCTGCCTCAGCGTGGTTTGATGAGCAGTGCCATGTCCGCGCCCAGGATTCGAACCAACGAAACACTGGGCCGCCTGCAGCGGAGCGCGCGAACTTAACCACTCAGCCACGGGGCCAGCCCCTATGTTTAGATTTTAAGAGTCTGTTAAACTGTTTTCCCAAGTGATTGTACTGTTTTACATTCCTTCTAGAGGGTGCAATATTTCCAGCTGTTCTACAGCTTTTTTTTTCCCCCAGATATAATTGACTCTACATCTTTGCTAACATTTGGTATGGTCAGTTTTTTTGATTTTAGACAATTTAGTGGGTGTGTGGTATGTTTTTAAACAGCTTTATTGAAGCCATAATTCACATTCCATATAATTCACCCATATAAGGTATATAATTCATGATTTTTGGTATATTCACAGTTATGTGCAACTATCACCACAGTCAATCTTAGAACGTTTTCAACACTTCAAAAAGAAACCCTGTACTCTTTAGCTTTCACCACCTGCGCCCCCAGTGCCCTGCTGCAAGCTCTAAGCAACCACTACTCTGCTTTCTGTCTGTAGATATTCCTGTTCTGGACATTTCATATCATTGTCTTTTGTACTGGCTTCTTTCACTTAGCACAATGTTTTCAAGGTTGTAGCATGTATCAGTACTTTATTCCTTTTAATGGCTGAATAATATTCCATTATAGGGATTTACCACATTTTGTTTATCCATCTGTCATTTGAATGAACATTTGGATTGTTTCTACCTTTGGGCTATCATAAATAATCCTATCTAAACATTCATCTACAAGTTTTTGTGTGGACCTGTATTTTCATCTCCCTTTGGCGTATACCCACGTACATTTACCTAGGGGAATTGCTGGGTCATTTAGTAACTCTGCTTAATCTTTGAAGAATTGCAAGACTGTTTTCCAAAGTGGCTATGCCATTTTACATTCCTGCCAGCAGTGTATGAGGGTTCCAGTTTCTCCACATCTGCACCACATTTGTTATTATCTGACTTTCTATTCTAATCATTATAGTGGATGTGAAGTGTATTGTATTGTGTTTTTAATTTGCATTTCCCACGTGTCTAATGATGTTAAATTTCTGTTTATGTGGTTATTGGCTATTTGTACATATTCTTTTCTGAATCATCTGTTCATCTTTTGCCCATTTTCTGTTGATTTGTTTGTTGTCTTATTTTTGAGCCATAAGGATTCTTTATATATTCTGGATGCAAGTCCTTTGTTTTATATATGTGTTTTGAATAATGTTATCCTATTGTGCCTTACTTTTTTGTTTTCCTAATGGCATCTTTCAAAAGGCAAAATTCTCAAATTCTGATAAAATTCAATTTATAATCTATGTTTTCAGCATTTGTATTGTGTCTAAGAAACCTTTGCCTACTTCAAGGTGACAAATATTTTCTCCCACATTTTCTTGTACAAATTTGTAGTTTTAGGTTTTACGTTTGGGTCTATGATCCATTTTGAATTACATTTTGTGTACGGGGGAGTTAATGGTTGATGTTCATCTTTTCCCATGTGGATATCTAGTTGATTCAGCAACATTTGTTGAAAAGACTTTCTTTTTCGCATTGGATTTGTTTTACCAGTTTTGTTGAAAATCAATTTGCCATGTATTTCTGGCCACTATTCTGTTGTATTGATGTGTATGTCTTTTTCTTTTTTTTTCCCCAATACTAAACTATCTTCATTATTGTTACATGATATTTCTATCATATAAAATAGACGTACCTTGAAATCAGATGGCATAAGTCCTCTAACTTTCTTCTTTTTTAAAAATTGCTTTGGTTATTCTAGGTTCTTTGCATTTTCATATAAATTTTAAACTCAACTTGTCAATTTCTACCAAAAGCACCCTGGGATTTGATTGTTATTGTATTGAACATAGAAATCATTTTGGGGAGAATTCCTATCTTAAAATTGAAATTTCCAATCCATGAAATAGGAACTTTGCTTATTTAGATCTTTGTTAATTTCTTCCAGCACAGCTTTAGTTTTCAGTGTAGAGATCTTAGATGCCTTTTGTTAGATACTTTCCTGAGTATCTCATGTATTTCTTTTGGAGCTACTGTGAATGCAATTTAAAAAATTTTATTTTCCAATTATTTCTCACTAGTCTGTACAAATACAATTGATTTTTACATATGAAAAAGAATATGAATCCTGCATCCTGTGACTCTGCTAAATTTGTTTTATTAATTCTAGTCATGAGTTTTTAGGTTTCCTGAGAATTTCTGTGTGAACAATCTTATTATCTACGCATAAGTACAGTTTTACTTCTTCTTTTCTGATCTTTATGCTTTTTGTTTTTATTGCGTTATGGCAATGGCTAGGACTTTCAGTATAATTTTGAATAGAAGTGGTGGAAAGTGGGTATCTTTATCTCATTCCTGATCTCGGGGTCTATCCTTTTCCTTTTCCTTTTCCTATTTAAGTAGATGGTATATTTTAAATGGTAAAGTAGTTATTTGGTTTTTGTTTTGTAAATTCTATTGCTTTGATAGCAACCTGGGGTCAAGTGTGTATTTGGTAAAATACGTAGTGAAGGGCTTTTCAGTAATGAGAGAATGAGATTCTGCTGTTTTTAGCTAGAGTAGTTTTCATCTAGCCATTGAAAATACAGCATACAAGTCAGGTGAGAAGCAGGAGCTAGGACTCAGTATGAGGGTGGTCTGTATTTTTCATGGGATTGCTGGTGTTTTAACTATAACTGCCAAGGGGAAAAGAGGAAGTAAGACAGGGCGGGGGAGATTTTGTCTGTAGTGTCAAGTATACTTTGAATTAATAGATAAGTTTGGGTGTTTTTCCTTCAAAACACTAAAAGATACTATTATTTAGAATATCATGTACATGCCTTTCAACCTATTCTGCTGTTATTCTTTATTTTGTCTTATTTTGTATTTTTTGAGTTGAAGTATAATTTACATGCAATAAAATGTATAGCTTTTGGAAGATCAGTGATGATTTTTGTTAATTGTGTGTGCCCATATAACTACCACTCAGAACAAGTTCTTCTCTCCTGCCCCTTTCCAGCTGATCCTCCAACTCCAGAGGCAGCAGCCACTTTCTGGTTTCTGTCACCATATATTAGTTTTCCTGTTGCTGGGGAATTTTTTGTGTTAGCCTTTTGGGATGTGTTTTTAAAAGGTGATACTGGAAATGTTTTTGAGAAAAGTACAAACTTTTGTAAGAAGAAACTTTACTTTCTGATCCTACACTACTGAATTCTCAGAACAATGGCCCAACCTGATTACTCCCTAACTGGGAGACAAGTATTTTAATGAAATTTAGTCTGGTTCCTACTTTGCCGTTTTACATTTATTCTTATTTGAAAAAAAAAAAAATACAAGTTTTTCCTTTACAGAACTCTGATCTTATTTTTCTTTTCCTTGACTTGTCCTGTCACTGTTAATTAAATCAGTTGTTTGTTTGAAATGTAATTTTAGATATTTTTCCATGGATATTGAAATTTTATCTTTAATTCCTAGAGTTTTAAAATGTTGGCAGTGGTTTTTGTGTTATACTTCAGCTGAGTTCATATGACTGGGATGGTAAGAAATTTACCTTCATTGTACTCATGGTAATGCTAGCACCTGACATTTGAATTTCTCAGTTTATACAATACAAATATGAGTATGATCAAATAGTCTTTCATACTTCCTAATACAATCTAATTTTCTTGTGCTTTTGTTTGAATGACCTTACTAATTAAATATTAAAGTCATCTTTAATAATGTCGTTTTTATTTTATTTTAGTTCATTCAGCCCCTAAAGAAATAACAGTGTCTAAGGGACAAGAAGAGGAACCTGCTAGCCTAGTTAAATATTTCAGTGTTGTTTGGTGTAAGGCTTCAAAGAAAAAACACAAGAAGTGGGAAGGTGATGCTGTTCTTATTGTTAAAGGAAAGTCATTTACATTAAAGAATTTGGAAGGCAAAGACATTGGAAGAGGTATTGTGATATTTTCTGATGTTTATGATTAGGCCCCAAATTAGTGTATATCTCCACTTACATAATTGAAATATAATTGGGTTCTGTAAAGGTATAGATTAAGATGTGCTTTGTACTTGACTTTCATCTCTAAATTACCTCATAAAAATAAAATTATCTCATAATAGTCACTCTGACAGTCTTATGTATACTAGCTCAGTGAGGTGAAACTCATTCCATGGTTTCATTTTCTCCAAAAACGGAATGGTCACCAGGTATATACAGTAATTTTGGCATTTTTCTGAGATTAACCAGTGTGTCTCGGTGTGGTTTTTCATCTTTTTTCTTTTTGCAGAATGCCAGTGATTAAAAGTTAAAAAGATGTTGATATCAGGAGTGGAATTATGTTTAATTTCGGTGATACCCAATAAAAATTTCACAAAAGCAAGGAAATAATGAATGGCTAGGCATGACCTAGATTAATACATCTAAATTGGAGGTTACCATTATTTCCATTATAAAATGTTGCCAGCATGATTTGTGCAAGTTAGCCCACAAATTCAGAATGCATAACATCAACCATGGTCTTTTTGCATTGTCTCTTGTTCAATTTTGAGTGTGGCCCATGATTATAAAATCTGTTCTATATGTTCATTCGTTTGAAAATATCATAGTTTATAGTTTTCAGTAACTGTTATGTGCCAAGTACTATGTTAGGAGTAAACATTCAAAGATGGGTATAGTTTATAGTTTACTGGGGACAGGAAAATGTAATTGAAAAATAGGAAACAGTAAGATAATTGGTTCAATGAGAATTTTTACTAAGGGCAATAAGAGCATACATAGAAGGACCATTTAAGTCTGCCTAGAAGGCTAGGGGAAAGCTTCTTAGGAGTTATTGTTTAAGGGAATATTTGAAGGATGAATAGTTTTGTAGGGTATGAGAAAGGGGTATATGCAAGAGAGAACATGTGCAAAGGCGAAAAGGCAGGAGAGAAGTAAAACTACTTCAGTGTTTCAGGAATGCAGTATATGAAGGGTAGTGAAACTGAATGGAATTATCTGCAATAGAATTTTTTTATTATAAAAATATTGAGCAACTACTTTATATACAGTATCATGCTCAATGTTTAGAGGAATTAAGAAGAAAAATTACACATTCCATGTTGTTGGTTAAGGTAGATTGGGGCAAGATTTTTGGTGGACTTGATCATACGAATTTAGTGACATTACATTCTAGCCAGCTAGAGAGGTAAAAGTTATCAAAGTTACCTTGGAATATCTCTTACTCATAAGGTATAGTATACATGGTTTTGTGTATGTATAGTTTATAATAAAATGATTTTTCAGTTGCAAGTAGCAAAAAATGTAAATTAGGTTATAAACAGTAGGTTTTTACTCTGACTACGCAAGTGGAATCACCTAAGGTACTTTAAAAAATGTCAGAGCTTAGGCCCTGACTGCCGAGGCTGTGATTTATTTGGTCTGGGTGGTGGGGAGAGGGACTGGGCACAGCATGTTTTAGGTTTCCAGGTGATTCTAATATCCAATAGGAGTTGAGAACCACTGGTTTAAACATTAGAGGAAATTTTATTAGCTTTCATAATGAAAACATCCAAACATAAAACTTGATTGCTTAATTATAACATTAATAACTGTCAACCTGGAGTTAATTTTATAAATTAGTGCCTGTAATGTAAACAGTTTTTCTTTTAAATAAATTGGATTTGCAGCATTTGAACCTTGTTATCATTGGGATAGAGACTAAAAAGTCTGAGGGCTGGAGTGCTGAAATTGCTGATAGCTTGTGATATTGTGATAGTAGTCAGGTTCAACTGGCCATCATTTTATAATAACTAGGAAAAAAAGAAGTGTGGGAAACAAAGTTCAAAGTTTGAAGAAAATCTTCTGGAGATTTAAAGCTGTTTGAGAGAGTTGTCTCTATGGATCAAAGTGAAATGAGAGATCCTGGAGTTATAGAGACTTCTGAAGATGTGTCGAAATTAAGTTTATTCTTGCTCCAATTTCCATATAAAACTGAGATTGATAGCAATACTATACTCTTCATTAATGTGGAGAGGTTAAGACTACTGTTGAACTGAGTTAGTTTGGGGAATGGAGCAATGGGTCTTCTGCATTTAGGAACACCAGCTAAGTAATTTCTTCCTTTATCAGAGCATTAAAATTGAAAAGTGCTCCATCGTATATAATTTAAGTGTACATATTAGTTACCAGTTCGCACAGGTTGTAAATTTTATCCCAGTTTTAATAGGGCAAATTGTAGCAATTTCCAGCTAGTTTAAAAAGGTCATATTTTCTAAAATGTGTCTTTTACTTTTTAGAGACTTAAAGTTTGTGGTACACACAGTTCTTGCCCCCTATAATGGCACAATAGCCATACATGTAATATAGGTAAGCATAGGAGTCTAAAATTCCATTACTCTCTCTGTCTGGTTAATGAGCTCATTTTGAGAAGACTGTGACTGACTTTATTCATATTTATATTCCATCAGCACCTTACATATGGCAACACTTAATAAACACCCACTCAATTAATAATAATTCAAACAAGCTTGATATTATAAAATATCCCACTTTTTATTTAAGGGCTAGAACTTGGACTATCAGTGGCCTCTTGCCACAACTGTAGTTGAACTTTGCGGTCTCCTGTGAAACGGTAAGGTACTGGCTGAGGCAGCAGTTAGTTTTATTGCTAGTTCTCCTTCACATTTCCGGCTGTTTCTAAGTGGAAATAGAGATGCTATCATGCTTCTCTAGTTTGTTCACAGGAAAGGAGGATCCATATAGCTTACCAAACTCTTTTCTTGCCTTGTTTTTCTATAGACAGAGATGGTAAAACTGTGAGTACAATATACTGTATTTTCAATAATTAAAAAAGCCTTGCTTTTGCTAAAACTTGGCTAATTTTTATAGTTATATTATTACTTATTTCTTCCGATTTTTAAAATTTTTTTTCACTAAAATGATAAATTATGTTTCATTCTGGCTAACGGGTTATATGAGACTGTTTACATTCAAAGCACAGTTTTCATTCTGTACAGTTATGGGAACGTGACTATGGTATCACTAATTAAGTCCTCTTAGAGTGTCAAGAAATTAAATTAACTTTCTTTGTTCTCAATTTAAAGGCATTGGATATAAATTCAGAGAGCTTGAAAAAATCGAAGAGGGTCAAACAATGATGATTGGTGGAAAAGAAATAGAAGTCATGGGAATAATCTCTCCAGATGATTTCAGCAGTGGGAGATGTTTTCAGCTTGGAGGAAAAAGTCCTGCTATCTCAAATTTTTGTCAAGCTGCCAAGAAGTGTTTCTCTAACCCTTTAAAAAGTGTCTATAAACCAAGCTCAAAGGAAAATAGACAGAATAGTTTCTGTAACTGCAAACCACGCCATGACCCATGTGCTCCAAGTAAGATTTAAAAAACAATTGGAATAGTCTGTCTTTACTGTCAAAAGTTTTTTGGTATGTGAATTTAAAGTTTAAATTTCCTTTTAAAGTTTTGAGGTGAAAGTGTATATTATTCTTCAGATATACAATCTGACATAAGGGATAATATTGATGTTGTATAATAATATAGTGTGGGAATTATTTCATAAGTAAATGCATAATTCCGAGAAACAGTAATAAAAATACTATACATGTGTTGAAGGAGAAATATACAAATTGTAAATGTATACATTCATACACATGTGTATGATTTTGGATAAAATCTGACATCTTTTATTTAAAAAAATTTTTTTTTAAGAGATTTTAGTTTTCCTTTTTCTCCCCAAAGCCCCTTGCTACATAGTTGTATATTCTTAGTTGTGGGTCCTTCTAGTTGTGGCATGTGGGTTGCCGCCTCAGCATGGCTTGATGAGCGGTGCCATGTCCGCACCCAGGATTTGAACCGGTAAAATCCTGGGTCACTGAAGCAGAGTGTGCGAACCTAACCACTCAATCATGGGGATGGCTCCAAAATCCGACATCTTTAGTAAGGAGAAAAATTAGTAAATTCATGAATCAGGATTATATTTATACTTCCATTTTTTTTTAACAGTTTAATTTTTCCTTTTTCTCCCCAAAGCCCCCCAGTACATAGCTGTATATATTTTAGTTGTGGGTCCCTCCAGTTGTGGTATGTGGGATGCCACCTCAGCATGGCCTGATGAGCGACACCATGTCCGCGCCCAGGATCCGAACTGGCAAAACCCCAGGCCGCTGAAGCACAGCGCCCGAACTTAACCACTTGGCTGCAGGGCCAGCCCCTATACTTCCATTTTGAAGACTATATGCCTTGATCACGTACATTAGTGTGTTACAGTATTGAATGGTGAGATGTGATGTAAAGAATTCAAATTTTACTCATGGGAATTCAGTTTAGTCAATTTTCACGTTAATGAATTTAATTTAAAAATCACATTAAAAAGTGAAACCTAGGGGCTGGCCCCGTGGCCGAGTGGTTAAGTTCGCGCGCTGCGCTGCAGGCGGCCCAGTGTTTCGTTGGTTCGAATCCTGGGCGCGGACATGGCACTGCTCATCAAGGCACGCTGAGGCAGCGTCCCACGTGCCACAACTAGAAGGACCCACAACGAAGAACATACAACTATGTATTGGGGGGCTTTGGGGAGAAAAAGAAAAAAATCAAAAATAAAAAAAAAAAAAGTGAAACCTAGTCTGTTTTTTTTATTTGGTTGTTCACTCAGCAAGTATTTCTTGAGTGCCTTTTTTGCATTGTGCCCAGCAGGAATATTGTCATCAGAGAGCTTCTCATGTGAGGAGACAGAGAAGTAAATGTGAATTATAGTGTTGTGGATGTGTAAGTTGGAGAATGGAATAGGCATCTTTCAAAATAGTAGTAAAATAAAAGTATATAAATAACATAATTATTTTCCCCTCTTGCAAGGAAACAGAATTTTTGGAATAAAGGGGCCTTTGAGGTCTTTAAATCAGTCTCTTCACTTTGCATTTGAGGAAACCAAGGCCCAGAAAGATGAACTGACTTATCTAAATTCAAGTAATTATTGATGTAATTGGAATAAAAACACTAAATTAAAAATTTCTAGCTTTATTTGAGCTTATCTGAGACTGACTTGAAATATAGAGAGTGGAAACATATGCTTCTGATTTTTCTCTTTAAACATTTTGTATGTCCCACCAGCTCTTTTAACAAGCTTCCTTCTCTCCTTTATTCTCCTTTGTTCTCTTTGCCTTCCTATTACATATCAGAGGGCTGTGGGGAACTGGAAAGAATACTGTGGTTATTCAAAGCCCTGAGTTAGAGTCCTGGTTTGCCCCGGGCTAACTGCTTCTTTGACCTTTTGGGGTAGTCCCTTACGTCCCTAATGTTCTGCCTCATGTGTAAAATGTGGGTTCTAATAACTGCTGTAGAGACTTTGAGTACCTAGTATATACTCTGTGCAATAAATGTTTGCTGACTGAGTGAATGAAAAATTTTACTGTGATGATTTCTATGTGTGTGTGTGTGTGTGTATGAATGAAAGCCATTTGTGTGCATGGTAAATGGCTGATTATTCTTGTTTATTTATTTTGTCTTGCCAAGGGTAGAATTCATTGTAGACTTAAAACTAAAGCATGAGAGATTTTGTTAGCATTAAATGGTGTCTAATCATTGTGAAAGTAGAGGGGTGGCTTAAAGTTTGAACTGGTGTCCCGTTATCATGGTGGTTTAGGTTTTATCTTTCTTGAAGATGGGCGCTTTGTTAGATGACTTATGAACCTCTGGGCCTTCTTGCTTGAGAACTATATGGTCTTTACCTCTATCTTCTCTTTCTTCCCTTTTGTCATTTTTAAAAGATAGAAAAAACGGGGCCATTTCTTGGTCGGAAATCTACAAGGAATATACTCATTTCATTTTTTTTTTTTTTTTAAAGATTTTATTTTTTCTCTCCAAAGCCCCCTGGTACATAGTTGTATATTCTTTGCCGTGGGTCCTTCTAGCTGGGGCATGCGGGACGCTGCCTCAGCGTGACTCGATGAGCAGTGCCATGTCCGCGCCCAGGATTTGAACCAACGAAACACTGGGCCGCCTGCAGCGGAGCGCGCGAACCCAACCACTCGGCCACGGGGCCAGCCCCACTCATTTCATTTTTTAACCGTGATGTAGACATACAAATATATTCAAAAAATAATTTTGATGAGTTTATTGTCTGATTTCAGATAATTTTGATTTATCACTTGAGACCTGCTTTCTAGTTATATTTGATTTTGTATTTTTTGGTGATATTTTAATGAATCTTTTAAATTGTATTAGCATACTTCTAAAGAATTACATTATTATTCGATGGTTACTTCTTGCTGCTTTGCAAAGATACATGAATTTGACATTCATGAATGTGGTAAATTAACTTTAAGCAAATAATGATGGCGAAGTCAGTGGAAAATATATCATCCTTTGTCAGTTCTTCTGATTAATAGGAGTAATGGTCATTGTTATTATGTACAGGGCTAAAAATAAAGGGAACCTTTATGTTAAATTTAGGAAGCTTTTCCAGAATAAGAAGCTGTGAGCATTAGCAAGTGCATCTTGGCAAAATTCCAACCAGTGCTTTCAGTTGGAAATGGTTCTCTTTGCTCTCAATACTGAATTATTAAGTGTTATAGCTTATTGAATTCCTTATTAGACAATAGTGAATTTCAGTGGTTTTGAAGCACTTTTGGGCATATGAAGTTTGAAAGGCCCTTTGTAATTCTTTCATCAAGTTTTACATCAATAAGGCATGAGATTTTATTTTTTAATTTTGTACCCTTGCTTAGCATTAGTGTCACTGAATTTTGAATTTTTTTGCCACAAATGATGGCAAGTGGTTCTATCTTATAAATAGTTAAAGCAAGATAATGTAGTTGCTGATAAAGTGAAATTGTAATACGGTTGTCATTATACTTCTACCTTTGTCTTAAGATTCCCTTGTTATGCTGCGACCGGACAGCCGTCACCAGTGGATGTTCAATAAGAACTGCTTCCCTCTCGTGGACGTAGTGATAGATCCTCACCTTGTGTGTCATCTTCGACCACATCAGAAGGAAGGAATCAGATTCCTTTATGAGTGTGTGATGGGATTCAGGTAGGAAAATAAATCATTGCTTAGTCTAATCTGAGTTTTGATTTAACCTGTAATATAATGATTTTCCAGGAAGAGCCTGATATAATGAGTCTCAGTGTGTACATCATGAATTTTAGTTGCTAGGAATGGTGAATGGTACTTAATGTGTGGGTTTATTCCAAAAGTGGTTCTTGAGGAAACAGATAAATGCAGTCAACTTTAGTGTGGTACGATAAGAGCACACTGCGGATATGATAAAGGGTTACGGGGGCAAAATGGCCTTTAATTCTGCTTATGAGGATTTTGGAAGAAGGTTTTCTTATCTCACTTCTACTTAAAAAAAAGTCCCCTTTCCCTTTTTTTAAAATTGAGTTTTCTTAAAGAATTGTCATCTCCTCTCAAAAAATTAGAAGACACACACACACACACACACACACACACACACACACACACCCCAGGCAAAGGAGATAAAAAAGAGTCAAACGCCCTTGCTAACATCTTGGTCTATTTATTTCAGTTTCTTTTTTGCTTTGTTTTTAATGCATAGGCCCCTGCTTTTTAAATTGGTCATTTGCTAGTGAATAGGGAATGTAAATTCCCCCACACTTGAAGAACTCCTTGAGTGATGACCGGTTAAGGGAATACCATCTCCTAGAAACTTTCTAGACTCATCTCTCTCAAATCTGCTCTTTTTAGGCATCTTATCTCAGTTGGTCTAGGAATCATTTTTGATTTCTTCTCTCTCACCTACTCAATCTAATCAAATCTGAACTTTTAGTTATTTTGACCTCCTAAATATCATTTGATTCCTAATCTTTTCTGACACCTCACTGCAGCAGCTCTAGCAACTGATGTCATAAAATTATATTTTGTCTGGACTATTGCAATGGCTCCTAACTTGTGTATCTGCTTCTGATGCTCCTCAAATCCATTCTACTTATCAATAGCCAGCAGCTTGATTTTTATGAAAAACCATTTTGAACATGGCATTCCCTTGCTTAAAATCATTCAAACTCTCAGAACATGGAGCAGTGTTTCCTAATCTGTGATGTGCAGTCCACTGGTGGTGTGTGGGATCCTTTTAGGTGTACCTGGACAAGCCTTGTTTTTCACTTGTAATAGTAGCATATGTAGTTAATGAATAATTAGAAAAAAAATAGCACCTTAAACTTCTAGTTTCACAGATAAATTATGCTTAGACAGAGTTTTCTTTTCAAATGCATCTAAGTAAAATACATGACTATATCAAAGAGCTTAAAAAACTACAAAGTGGCATCAAAATGCTACTTAATAATATTCCTTATAATATTTAATTTTAAATTACATTAACCAAGTAAGTTTGTAGAATAAGATTTTTACTAAATTACGTGTATTAGATCAAGTATTTGGTGTTTAATTTTTCTTACAGTGCAGGGAGCTCTTTTGGTTAAAGACTTCATTTATTGCCAGAGAATCATAAATACAGCTTAATAGATCTTTCTGGTTAACATTACAATAGAGTCATGCGTCGCTTAATGATGGGGATACGTTCTGAGAAATTTGTTGTTAGGCAGTTGTTTCGCTGTGCTAACGTCCTAGGGTGCACTTACACAAACCTAAGTGGGATAACCTACTACACGCCTGGGCTAGATGGCAGAGCCCATTGCTCCTAGGCTAGAAACCTGCACAGCATGTTACTGTACTGAATACTGTAGGCAGGTTAACACAGTGGTAAGCATTTGTGAATCTAAAGGTAGAAAAGGTACAGTAAAAATATGGTATAAAACATAAAGAATGGTACATCTGTAGAGGGCATTTACCATGAATGGAGCTTGCAGATCTGGAAGTTGTTCTGGGTGAGTCAGTGAGTGGTGAGTGAATGTGAAGGCCCAGGGCCTCACTGTACACTGCTGTAGACTTTATAAACACTGTACGCTTAGGCTACACTAAATTTGTGAAAAAATATTATCTTTCTTCAATAATAAATTAATCTTAGCTTACTGTAACTTTTTTACTTTATAAACTTTTAAATTTTTTAAACTTTTGACTCTTTTGTAATAACGCAATGTAAAACACAAACAGCTATACAAAAATATTTTTTCTTTATATCCTTATTCTATAAACTTCCTTGTATATATTTTTATTGAGTTCATAATAGTTTACATCATTGTGAAATTTCAGTTGTACATTATTTCTTGTCTGTCACCACATAAGTGCTCCCCTTCACTGCTTGTACCCACCCTCCAGCCCCCTTCCCATGGTAACCACTAAACTGTTTTCTTTGTCCATGTGTTTGTTTATATTCCATATATGAGTGAAATCATATGGTGTTTGTCTTTCTGTCTGGCATATTTCGCTTAGCATAATACCCTCCAGGTCCATCCATGTTGTTACAAATGGGATGATTTTGTCTTTTTTTATGGCTGAGTAATATTCCATTGTGTATATATATACACCACATCTTCTTTATCCAATCATCGGTCGATAGGCACTTGGATTGCTTCCATGTCTTGGCTATTGTGAATAGTGCTGCCATGAACATAGGGGTGCATATGTTAAACTTTCTTATATTATTAACTCAATACTTTTATACAACTGGCAGTGCAGTAGGTTTGTTTACACCTGCATCACCACAAACATGTGAATAATATGTTGTGCTAGGACATCATGATGGCTTCGATAGGAGTTTTTTAGCTTCATTATAATCTTATGGAACCACCATCATATATGTGGTCTGTCGTTGACCAAAATGTCATTTTATGGTGCATGACTGTATATTTTAAACTGTTTTGATATCTAGTACTGAAACTGATAAAAATTGCTCAACTGTTAGTGCTGGGAGGCACAGTTTTAGTTAAATTATTCAAACATAGGTATAAAATTGGGATTCATTTCTAGTCTCTCTAAATATATACATATGATAGTAACAGATGATTGAGATTCAACTCTCTAATTCAGATTTAGTAATTTAGTTGACAATAAATATATAATGAATATCATTATCACAGATGCAAAAAAGAGATATGTTGTAATTCGGAGGAATGAAAAGCTAGAAAAAATATTTAGTGGGGAATAGAATTTGTCCTAATTACAAAATATCAGCTTCTGGTTCTTGACTAATAAGTGATGATATTAGGGGCATAAAACATTTTCCTGTTGTGATTAAAGGAAGTATAATTATTTCTAACAGAGTGAATGACAGATATGGAGCTATTCTTGCTGATGAAATGGGTTTAGGGAAAACAATACAATGTATTTCGCTCATCTGGACTCTCCAGTGTCAGGGACCCTATGGAGGCAAGCCAGTAATAAAGAAGACACTAATTGTCACTCCTGGAAGCTTGGTGAATAATTGGAGGAAAGAATTTCAAAAATGGCTAGGAAGTGAAAGGATCAAGATATTTGCTGTTGGTCAGGTAAGAGACTTTGTCATTTTCTAAATGAGCCTTGGTCATATTCTAAATCCCTAGCTTTTCAAATCAATACTGCTCTTTTTACTCTCTATATAGCAGGTTTTTATGTGTATATAAGTCTCCAACTCCTTTGCAGAAAAATGGAATCTTGGCTTACAATTTGGTTGTGAGTTAACATATTCTAATACTTGATTAATGGTTGTCAGAAATATGCTGCTTAAATTTGATTTCACACAGTTTCTGCACATGATTTGTTAAATATTATCTCTCTCTTTTTTTTAGGACCACAAAATAGAAGAATTCACCAAATCTCCATTTTATTCTGTTCTTATCATCAGTTACGAAATGTTACTTCGTTCCCTGGACCAAGTTAAGAATATAAAGTTTGATCTTCTAATCTGTGATGAAGGGCATCGTTTGAAGAACAGTGCCGTTAAGACAACTGCAGCCCTCATTAGCCTCTCTTGTGAGAAAAGAGTAATTCTAACTGGTCAGTATTTACTTTTGAGAAGATATGATGGAATTTCTGCCTAGTAAACATAAGACTTGTAATATGATGCTTGGCATCCAAAGCATTGGTGGTGTTGGATGGAATTCATACTAATAAACCTCTATTAATAATTGAGTCTTGGTAGGATTCTGAATTATCAAGTCCCTATGTAATGTTCTGCAATCCAGATTTTGGATTTTTTGAGGAGTAATCACAACGGTGTCACGGTAAAGAATGTGGGAGATGGGGCTGAACTGCCCATGCTTGGTTCCCAAGTCTGACATTTATAGCTGTGCAACTTTGGGGAACTTAGTTAACTTCTCTGTACCTCAATTTCCTTATCTGTGAAATAGGGATAATAATACCATCTACTTTATAAAGTTGTTGTGAGGTTCAAATGAGTTAATCCATGTAAAGTTCTTGGAAGACTACCTGACACATGGTAGGTGTTTAATATAAATATCTGTTATTTTTCTCTGTGTGCTGCACGCACATAGTTTGTTGCTGGCCAAAGCTTCTGGGCCAGACTATCTGGAAAGGTGGGATGGACCGTGTGTAAATATAAGAATCCTTTTCTCCCTACTTCTTTTTAGCTTAAGACCTAGACTAGAGTCATGCCTGAGTAGCTCAGTGTGGCTTTTTTCCCACACCTCACCTTGCTCTTGTGTGGCCCTTCCAATTTGCCATTCTGGCAGCAGCAGAAAGAAGAGAGTTGTATTCATCACTAGTATTTGTGACCCCCTCCATTTTCTACTTAAGGCTTCATTTCCCCACTGTCTTTAATCCTTTTGGAAGGAAAGGGCAGGGCATGATTTATTTTTATTATATGATGATCTTTTGTGTCATTTTGTCCTTCATTGTCCTTTATGCATGTCAGAGCTCTTCTCTGAAGTTAAACTGAGGAGAGAGCAGAGGTGTGACCCGCAGCTTGCTCCTCCATTCCACATCTTTAGGGTAGAAAAGTGCCTTAGAGTGACAGAGAAAACTCCCCCTCTTCTGTTCTCGTTGAGTTGGGGTGGGGAGGGTACCTATCTTGAAGTAATTCACGGTCATTTGATTTCCAGTTTGTGTGGGATTGTATTAACCATTACTAAATGTAATTTTTAAAACTATATGTGCTTTTTAAATATGATTTTGAGAAGTTTTAAATGACCTTTACATTCTTCACATTTAGTCACTTAAAGATAATAAAGATAAAAAGAGCAGGGGTCAATCTCATAGTTATTTATATCCCCAAGATTTAGTTGACGCCCAACAAATGTTTGTCAGTAACACTAGTGATATAGAAACCAGAGAATAGAAACAATGGCTTTGAATATTTATAAAAGGTTACTTTTAAAGAAAAAAATGAGTTGGGAAATGGAAAATTTAATCTAGGTGATTTTTATGTCTTCGGCTGTTTGAGAAACTAAGTGGATTCCTTGATTCCCAAAGCTGTGGTTCAAACTTCCTTACTAGCCATTGATTTTGAGGTCTTGGGGCCAGAAAAGCAATGGAAAAAAAAGATTTAGCTGAATTTATTTTCACCGTGTTGGAAGAGAAAAGCAGAGGCTGTTTCTTTTTATTGCTCAGTGTGGGGTCAATACTGCTTATCGAAAGAGTGGTAACAGCTGTGGCGTTAAAAAGGTTGCTATTCGACCTGTTGATGTAATGGTCAAGTTTGCATGTTCCGCTTAGGTGGCCCGGGGTTTACGGGTTTGCATCCCGGGTGTGGACGTACACACCACTCGTCAGGCCACTCTGTGGCAGTGTCCCACATACAAAGTAGAGGAAGATTGGCACAGATGTTAGCTCAGGGCCAATCTTCCTCAAATCCTCCCCCAACAAAAGAAAACATCAACAACAAAAGATTGGCATTAGAAAGGGAAGAAAAAGAAATGAAGACTGAGAAATGTTACTGAAAAGTACTGAAGGTAGAATGAAAATAGAGCATATGCTCTCTTATTCAAAAATCAGATAATTTTCTGTAGCAAAAATGGATAATTTTACTAATATTCTCAATTATAAACAAATACTAATTCAACTAGCATTCTAAATTTAATATTTGTAGTAGAAAATGATTCTGGGACTTTATTCAAAAGAAATGTTCTGATGGTGACTATTGAGATAGTTTCATTAGAATTGGCATTGCCCCCTTCTGTCTTACTTTGCCTTCTTTAGCTTGTTTCTGCTTTCCTGTCCTTGTCACAGCTGCCCTCTGAGCATGAATTTAGGTACGAACTAACACTAGCTAACCTCTTAGAATTAGAAATACTTGTAGTTGGTTTTTATCTCCTTAGAATTGCCTGAATGAATTCTTCTTATTATAATGGAAGGATATTTTACTCCCACAGTGATTTGTTTCAATGTTTCTACATGAGTATGTACAGTGCTATGTACCTAATAGGTGCTCAGAAACTACCTGAGAATCAAATGAAAGTAGTTGTGATTTGGTTTCTTGGTATTATCTAGCCCAGTGCTGTGGAGAACATTTAATTACTATTTACTGGAAAATGGTTAGGATTCAGTCTGACTAGTAGAGTTGTATTAGGCTTCTAGAGCTGCCATAACAAAATGCTGCAGACTGGGTGATAAATTTCTTAAGCAACAGAAATTTATTTTCTTACAGTTCTGGAGGCTGGAAATCCAATATCAAGGTGTCACCAGATTTGATTTTTCCTGACCCCCCACTCCTTGGCTTGTAGGTGGCCTTCCTCGGGCTGTGCCCTCTCATGGCCTGTCCTCTGTACGTGTGCATCCCTGGTATCTTTCTCTTTCTCGAAAGGACACCAGTCATATTGGATTTGGGTCCCACCCTTGTGACCTCCTTTAATGTTAATTACCTCCTTAAAGCTCTCCCTCCAAATACAGTCACACTGAGAGTTAGGGCTTCAACATAGGAATTTTTTTAAAAATTGAGGTTATGATAGTTTACAACCTTGTGAAATTTCAGTTGTACATTATTATTTGTCAGTCATATTATAGGTGCACCACTTCACCCTTTGTGCCCACCCCCCACACCCCTTTCTCCTAGTAACCACTAATCTCTTCTCTTTGTCTACATGTTTGTTTATCTTCCAAATGTGAGTGGAGTCATACAGAGATTGTCTTTCTCTATCTGGCTTATTTCACTTAACATAACCCTCAGGGTCCGTCCATGTTGTGAATGGGACAATTTTATCCTTTTTTATGGCTAATATTCCATTGTCTATATATACCATATCTTCTTTATCCAGTCATCAGTTGATGGGCACTTAGGTTGCTTCCATGTCTTGGCTATTGTGAATAATGCTGCAATGAACATAGAGGTGCATGGGTCTCTTTGAATTGCTGATTTCAGGTTCTTTGGAAAGATACCCAGTAGTGGGATGGCTGGGTCATATGGTATTTCTATTTTTAATTTTTTGAGAAATCTCCATAGTGTTTTCCATAGTGGCTGCACTAGTTTGCATTCCCACCAGCAGTGTATGAGGGTTCCTTTTTCTCCACAACCTCTCCAACATTTGTTACTTTTTGTCTGGGTTATTTTAACTATTCTAACAGGTGTAAGATGATATCTTAGTGTAGTTTTGATTTGCATTTCCCTGATGATCAGTGATGATGAGCATCTTTTTGCGTGCCTATTGGCCATCCATATATCTTCTTTGGAGAAATGTCTGTTTGTATCCCCTGCCCATTGTTTGATCGGGTTTATTTTTTGTTGTTAAGTTGTGTGAGTTCTTTATATATTATGGAAATTAACCCTTTGTTGGATATATGATTTGCAAATATTTTTTCCCAATTGGTGAGTTGTGTTTTTGTTTCAATCCTGTTTTCCCTTGCCTTGTAGAAGCTCTTTAGTCTGATGACGTCCCATTTGTTTATTCTTTCTATTGTTTCCCTTTTCTGAGAAGACATGGTGTCCGAAAAGATCCTTTTAAGACCGATGTCAAAGAGTGTACTGCCTATATTTTCTTCTAGAAGTCTTATGGTTTTAAGTGTTACCTTTAAGTCTTTGATCCATTTTGAGTTTATTTTTGTGAAAGGTGTAAAAGAATGATCTATTTTCATTCTTTTACATGTGGCTGTCTAGTTTTCCCAAGACCATTTGTTGAAGAGACTTTCTTTTCTCTATTGTATGTTCTCAGCTCCCTTGTCAAAGATTAGCTGTCCATAGATGTGAGGTTTTATTTCTGGGCTTTCAATTCTATTCCATTGATCTGTGTGCCTGTTTTTGTACCAGTACCATGCTCTTTTGATTACTATAACTTTGTAGTATATTTGAAGTCAGGGATTGTGATGCCTCCAGCTTTGTTCTGTTTTCTCAGGATTGCTTTAGCAATTCGGGGTCTTTGGTTGCCCCATATGAATTTTAGGATTCTTTGTTCTATTTCTGTGAAGAATGTCATTGGGATTCTGATTGAAATTGCAGTGAATCTGTAGATTGCTTTAGGTAATATGGACATTTTAACTATGTTTATTCTTCTAATCCATGTGCATGGAATGTCTTTCCATCTCTTTATGTCATCATCAATTTCTTTCAGGAAAGTCTTATAGTTTTCATTGTATACATCTTTCACTTCCTTGGTTAAATTTATTCCAAGATATTTTATTCTTTTTAATGCGATTGTGAATGGGATTCTGTTCTTGAGTTCTCTTTCTGTTAGATTTTTATTAGAGTATAGAAATGCTACTGACTGGGGCCGGCCATGTGGCTGAGTGGTTAAGTTCGTGTGGTCTGCTTCAGCAGCCCAGGGTTTCGCAGGTTCAGATCCTGGGTGTGGACATGGCATCATTCATCAGGCCATGCTGAGGCGGCATCCCACATGCCACAACTAGAAGGCTCCACAACTGAAAATATACAACTATGTACTGGGGGGCTTTGGGGAGAAAAACGAAAAAGAAAATCTTTAAAAAAAAAAAAAAAAGAAATGCTACTGATTTATGTAAGTTGATTTTGTACCCTGCAACTTTGCTGTAATTGTTGATTACTTCTAGTAGCTTTCTGATAGATTTCTTAGGGTTTTCTATATATATAAGAT